GTATATACAAATTACTATTGTAGAAATAACTATAACAACTTGTGCTTTAATAGATACAGGAAGTGATATAATAATATTTAAAAGTTTTTTAATAAAATCATGGAATAATAATAGTAACATAAAAATAACTGGAGTTACATGAAAGAGCACTCAAATAATTAACAGTGCTGATAAAGTTAATATAATTCTTGGAAGTAAATAAGTTACAATAAATAAAATATATAAATATGATAAATTAGAATGTGATATATTATTAGGAAATGATTTTATACAATAATTTCAATATCATAAATAAAATAATTATATGATAATGCTATAAACACATTGTAGACACTTATTAAAAATCCCTAGAGAATTTAAACCTTATAGAATTCAGTCAGCACAGCGTGGTGATAAATGGGAGAAAAAACCAATCATAATGGAATAAAAAATAAAAGAGTATTGTATAAAAAAGTTTTAAAAACATGAATAGAAATGAATATAGAAAAAATAATTGAACAACTAGAAAAAATTTATGGAGAAAATATATTGTTATTTTGAAAATCACATCATCCAAAAGCTAAAATAGAATTAACAAAAAATGTTATAATAAGAGTCAGACCAATAATGCATACTATAGAATATACAAAAGAATTTAAAAATTAGACAAAAGAATGGTTAGAACAAAAACTTATTAGACCTAGTGACGGATCTCAAAGTAGTACAGCTTTTATAGTTATGAAACATTTTGAACAAGTTAGAGAAAAAGTTAGGATGGTTATAAATTATAAAGAATTAAACAAATATACTAAATTTGATTATTACTTTCTACCAAATAGAGAAGTGTTAATAAATATTGTAAGAGGAAAACAATATTATTCTAAATTTGATTGTAAATCAGGATTTTGGCAAATAAAAATGGAAGAAGATAGTATACAATATACTGCATTTAGCACATTTCAAGGAAAATATGAATGATTAGTTATGTCATTTGGTTTAAAAAATGCACGACAAATATATCAGAGAAAGATGGATAATATATTTAAAAAGTTTAATGAATTTCTAATTGTTTATATAGATAATATATTAATATGTTCTAATGGTAAAGAAGAACATTGAAATCATTTAATCCAATTTATTAACGAATGTCAAAAAGAAGGAATTGTACTATCTAAAAAGAAATCTATAATAGAAAACTAGAGATAGACTTTTTTGGATTGTCAATAGATAAAAGATGAGATAAAATTACAGACTCATATATCCAAAAAGATAGAAAGTTTTTTAGATAAATTAGAATCCAAAAAACAAATACAAAAATGTTTAGGATGTTTAAATCATGCAAAAGAATTTATTGAAAATCTTTCTAAGAAAAGACACAAAATCCTAGTATTATTTAGAAAAATAAATACTAAAGGATGAAATGAAGAACATACATAAATAGTTAAATCATTAAAAGAAGAATGCAAAAATTTACCAAAATTAAGATTACCAGATGAAAAAGATAATTTAATTATTAATACAGATGCCTCAGATAAATATTGAGCAACAATATTAAAAATAGATCTAAATGAAATTTGTAGATATTCAAGTAGAACCTTTAACCAAGTAGAAATAAATTAGACTACTCATGAGAAAGAATTACTAGCAATTATTAGAGGAATAAATAAGTTCTCATTATTTTTATTATCCAAGAAATTTACTGTTAAGATTGATAATTCTCAAGTTACAGGATTAGTCAGGAATAAACTACCATCAGAACCCCAATATAGAAGGCTCCATAGATGACAAACTTATTTAGCATTTTATAACTTTGATATTGTCCATATTAAAGGAGTTAATAATTTTCTTGCAGATTCTCTCAGCAGAAATATAGAATTTGCTGATGGATAAAGCCAAGGTCACAGAATTATACCAATCTATCCTACATATACAAAAAAGACAGATTTTCTTAAAGAAGAATTCAAAGATATAAACTCTGGAGCAACCCAAATCTCAGAGATGTACAATTCAAATATAAAAATATTATTGAATATCACTACTGTGCATCATAAATATGCAATATAACTCAAAAATCAAGTTAATGCTATTGCAGCACAACTAAAAGATATACTGTCTGAGACAGATATACCAAAGCGCTCTGAAATGAGTTTTCCAAACCAATACCAAACAGGGACGGCTGGAAGCAGCAGTAGACCTAGACGTGACAACATACCAATTGATAATAAAGAAGATTCAATTAATCAAAAAAATTATGATACATGGAGATAAAAGAGATACTAAAACAATCAACATCATAGACCAAGAACCTAAAATCCCTTTAGATCCAAAAGAAGAAAAATATGTCGAAATATTCAAAATTGCTTATGAAATAAAAATGAGTGATTCATATTTCATCTCTCCGAAAAATAATATTTATCCTAGAATAACAACCATGGAAGAAGGAGACCCTTCATTTATAAAAATTATGGCAGACTATGGATTCATAGATTTGATATATCCAAGAAAAGATTTGATTGAAATTTCGAAGTTTGATGACATATTCATAAAAAAAAAGTATCCAGATTTGCCAAGGGACGGAAAATATATTTGAAAATCTATTCAATCAGTCCAGAATATAATGAAGTTGTTTACTATTCAGTTGAACTCATAATCTCAATTGAATATGTTGCAGCCAATTTCCAAATAGATGTTACAGAAAATAATAGAAAAGTTCCTACAGCGACAAAATTATGGATCAAACATAGGAGAGCACTTGGAATTAAAGTCATCTACAACATTATCAAAAACTTGTTTGATAAAAAATTCTCATACTTGTGCCAATATGAAAATTGGACGCTGGTATCCAATAGAGGATATGGAAAATCAGAAATTTTAAAGGACTATATTACAAGATTTGATATACATCAATTTTCAGGATGTCCTACAAATATAAAAGAATCCTACCAGTTAAGGGAGAGTCCTAGCTGCATATGAAGAAATAAAGGAAGAGGGCAATAATAAAGCACATTTGACAAAGGTGTATGGAGAATAATAATACAGTTGCATGTGAAGACATTGAAGAAAAATAGCAATAATAGAAAAAAGAAGCTCTTTGGATAAAAAGTTGAAGAAGCATGTGAATATGTAGGCCCAAGGAGGAAAATAATAGAGGGGCAAGTGTGTCTTTGCTGATATACTCAATGATGTAATAGAGTCTCATAAACTTGTATGAATAGAGATATTGTCATAGATAGAGGACATCTCATCTTATCTTGAAATCTCGAGTTGGAAGCAATAGTTACTCTTAAAACCATTCACAGTTTGAAAATCAGTTTTTCTGGGAATCCCTTTTGTACTAAATAGAAGTCTTGTATAAATAGAAATAAAACTCCAATATTTTGATATCAATATGAGTTTCTAAATCTTTATTCCCATAAATTCTTGAAGAATCTAATAAAAAGTTTCCTTCTTATTTTAGCAAAAAGAAAGTTTTTCTTTAACAGAAGCCTAAAATTTTATTTTTTAGAAGTTGATACAGTAAGAGTAAGTAGCTGAAATAGTAACAATTCCGTGAAGGTAGGAGGCCGTTGAAGGAAGCAGTTTACAAATTCAGAGCTCGAAGGTTATTTGGTTCTAAGAATAAAAGTCCAGATCAAACCTAAAGTAAAACTATTAAACTTTTACTAAAATTAGAATGAATCTTTTTAAAATTTTAAAGAATCGTAGGGATTAATCAAGGATATACAATTGAAGAATTAGATAATCTATTAGAAAGAAGGTTAGAAAAAAATAAAGAATATTATTTCTCAATTAGAAAATATAAATTTACCATTTGAATAATATAGTATTTTAATTAGAAAATATGAAATATATGTTGCAGAATATTCTTATTTATTAGATCATAGAATGGATTTATATTCAAATATTCAAAATAGAAGATAAAATGTTTAAAATATTAGAATATATGTTGTAATATAGAAAGAATCATTTCATTAAGGGTAATATAGACTTTTCAATAAAAATGAATAGTGATAGGTTAAATAGAAAAATCTTCCCATTTAAAATGGGACGAAATGGTGGGGATGATTGAGAGAGGAGAGGGATTTCGGATTGAAAGGGTTTTAATTGATATGGGAAGGGGGAAATGAAAATTTATTATGATGAATGAATGATGGTAATTTAAGTAATTTATTAATTTTAATTTAAAATATTTATTTTTAAAACTTCTATTCCATTCAAAAGCTAAATTTACAAACTATATTATGAAATATGCTATGTAACCTAATTTGCACTTTTACAAATCATGATGCCCTCGTTTGGCCCCCATTCTCCATCTCAATCTTTTTCTCTCTTATTTTCAATCACACAATTTTTCATTAAATAATATTACATGCAAATAAAAGACTTTAATTCTTTTTCAACCACACATTTAAAAAAAAAAAACACTATTCTAGCCATTAAAATTTGGATAGAATGGAAGTCAAACGGGGCAAATGATTTATCTAAAATGTCCTTACTTTTTAGCCCTTGTTTGAGCCCAATTTTTGAGCCAAAATATATTTTAGACCATTATTTTGTTGGAGAATGTAAGATTAAAAAACAAGAAAAAGTTTTGCATTTACAAGTAAAATTATTATATATGAAAATGTGTGGTTGAAATGAATTTTGAAAAAATGAAAGCCATTCTCTATCCCATAAAAATAAATTTATTTTCAATTTTCATCTATCCTAAATTATAGATTACTTTTCTTGTCGAGAATATAATTAATTCCTTAATATACCTTTGTTTAATTTAATTTAATTGAATTTATTATTATTATTTTTTTCAACAAATACGAATCATCATTATTCAAATTCTGTTTGGAACCGATTTTTTAGGTCAGAAAAATTCATTTTTTGATTATAATCTTTCCAAGTGAATCCCAGTTGTGAGAAACAAAATCAATAAAAATGGTTCAAAAAGGTGACCAACGGTACGAAAATTCATTTTTCTCCTCTTAAAAGTTAAAATCAGCTCCAAACAGGGTCTAAATGAACATGTATATTGGGAAAAAAAAAATATAATTAAAGTTTCAACTATAATAAATAAGTTTTCCTAATCCGTGTAAATATGGAAACAAATCTATCTTTATGGACGTGGGAGTATTAATTCTGTTCCTCTATAATTTTACAAAACACTGCCACCTGAGTAGCTACATCTCAAAGAATATAAAATATAGAATTATAACACTAAAACGTACCTTTGGTCATTGGTCACCCAAAATTTGTGACCTCAATCACTATAATCACCGGAGACTATGGAATCCGAGCCTTCGTCCTTGTTCACGTCCCCTTCTGAGTTATCGTTAATTTCCAGTTCTTTCAAATTTTCACCATCCTCTTCATCCTCGTAATCATTATCATCATCAATTTCGTCTACATCCTCGTCGCTCATTTCTGCCATCTCCTGAGGAACATCATAACTCGAACCCCATTTTTCAAACTCATACGGGTTCACTTGGGCATTATCGTCAAAATCCCCAACTTCCAAGCTGTCACTACTGGCATCGTTGTCAATTTCAATATTTCTAGCGTCAAAATTCACCAGTTCCTCACGGACACAACTTCTTGGGTCTTCCACAACATTCTCAAGGGAGCCCTTGTCACCCAAGTAATCTGGCAGTGTCTCTAAAACAACCTTCTCTGTTCTCCTTTTCCTAACAGTTCGTCGACCCCGCCCATGCCTCTGTCCACCTGTTCCTACTCCATGCTGCATAAGAACTTGAGCCAATGTCTCACCTTGTCTTATATTCCGCCTGCTGGGTTGTGATATTGAACTAAAAACCCTTTTCCGAGATTTTCCACGTGGGCGGCCACTTCCTCTCTTGCTTACCACTCGCCTACTTCCAGAGCTGCCAGGAATGTCGCGCAGTTGACCCCAGTTTCTCTCTTTCACAGGTCCATGCTCATCCAATTCTGCACTTTCAGTCTTTGTGGTATCCTTTGTACAAGAGTACCTGAAAGTGGTCTTCTTTGTACAACAGAAAAGAAGTTAAAGGACGTATTGCTAAAATAAAAAATAGAAGCAAAAGCAGCAAAGAAATAGTCATCGACTGACTAAAAATATGTTACAGAAATTGGTTGGGGTCGTCAGAAAGGTTCCATAGGGATATCCTTATTTTACAGACTCCATTATAAATAGCAGCATCATGCTTTCAGAGTGCCAAAAATTGTGCGTGACAAGAGACAGAAAGATACTCAACTGGAAGAGCTTCCGCTGTCTGTCCGTCATGCAGCTCAGACTTCTGTTGTGGAACATAAAAAATAGAGGCATCCAGCTCCAAGACCCTCAGGGCCACGGCGGCAGTTGTCTGTGGAATCCAAGGAAGTTGAGTGATGGAACCAGAATAAGTAGATTCACAAGCAGCATCTCTTGATGCAGCACAATAGCTCAATAATTCTGACGTTGTCTCGAAATCTGTCGATAGAAAATCGCACTTCAAGGCATCCTCAAACTGGGTTAGTATCTGCAGTATATATTTGAAATGTTAATCAGTCCATCCTTTATCTAGTTTTTGACACATCCTCAAACTGGGGCAAAGTTTACTAGAAGCTAACACCTCAGTTCCATGAGCATGTGGCAATTGTAAATCTATATAAAATGTCCATGATAACTACAAAGTAAATGTCAATAAAATATTGATGTTATCTGCAAACTCCCCTTGTGTATGTAAAACCGTCACGCTTGGATTTAACATAAATTTCATCAAATGCAGAAAGTGAACCACGGATATTAAAAATATAGTTTATGTACTATCCAATGATTCAAAACTAAATTAAATGATATTGTCAACATTTTATAGCTGAACTCATTGAGAACTGGCTAATCGAACATCGTGCCTACACAAAACAGACCATCTATCAGAAAGACTACTAACAAAGAAGCAAATTCTCACAAACCATGAAACAAATAGTTTATCACACACACACACATAATGCTTAATTCACTTATTTTGTGTTTGGTACGTAACATTGAACAATATTTCAGCTTTTGCTACTGGCCAGGGCTATACAATCATCAATACCAAACATGCTATCAAAGCCCTAAAGTGTTATTGTTCAAGACAGCCCTAATGAACCAATTAAAAACCATCACCTAAAAGTATAAACGTATCCTTGCAGACCTAAGGAAACTAATAATCTCAAAGCTTCATGCATTACAAAACAAACAAAATAAAACAGACGCTAAGTAATATGAGGTCCTTCATTTGTTTTTTCCTGAAACAGAAAAGTGCATTTCTCTATAAAATCATACCAAGATATCACACCCATGAAAAAAGAGGAGGAAATGAAAACCTGTAGAAGTTCCTCAGCGGATGAAGAATTTTGTAGCTTTAAACCCCAACTATATCTACAATCTTCTGTCCAAGAAGATTTAAGAGCCTCGGATGGAACAGAGACCTATTAGAAACAACAAAAATTCAGATACAAAAATTGACCCAACAATAATATGATGGCAAGTGTACAACAGACAAGGCACTCCAAAGAACATTAGAAGTGCAAGCAAAAACATAGTCCAAATAATTTGATCTGTTACCTCAAGGAAAGATAGCAGGACTTTAATCAATCTGATCCTCGGTGAAGGAGATGAGTTTGAAACGACTATGTTGATTCCACTTTTCAGTTTCTCTTCACAATTGACTTGCTCCAAGAAATTTCCTGAGCTACCAACTTTGCCAAAAGTCCGATGACAAGAAGGGCAAAGGTCCTCTTTAGAATTATAAGTACTGAAGCAGATATCACAAATTCCTAACAGAGACGAGCACCTTTTCTTTCCATGTGCAATGGCCCGTAAAATATGTGAACTGAAGCATTCTTTCCACATCCAAATTTGGAGGTCTTCGTATCTACTTAAAGAATTCCTTTTTTCTGTTTCATTCCTTCCAATATCAATTTTAAAGGAATATGATGGTTCCAGTTTATCAGCATTTGCACTGCAAACTGCACTGCTGGGACTCTCAGCACCAGCAATGCAAGCAACGCTCGAATTACCTTCAATAGCTTCATTTCCACTTTTTACACCTTGATCCAATATATTAGACAATTGTTTATTCCTTTCGATGCATTCCTTGAAGGAAATCTCAATCTTTTGCAACATTATATGCAAATGAGATTCTCTAGTCCCACGAGTATCCAAAGACATAAAAAGAGCATCAAATGCCTACATGGAATAAAATAAAAAAGGGAATTACCATGGCACACAAAGGTAGAATAAAAATGAATGTAGCTGCAAGGTGCTGGTGCTTAAATAGCATGTCTAGAGAAAACTTCACTGGCTAGCAGTAGATAAATAATTAATTCAAGACATTCACCTGACTAAATTTTATTGTTACCCCTAGACATGACACAGAATTCTAAGACCTGGAAACCACATTCCTGCAGTCAAGTGAATGAGCATGCTCACATGAAATTGCCTATCAGTCTATCAGCAACAGTTACATATATACGTTTATATGTAAATGAATTTAATGCAGGTACGTACACCCGGAGTTTAAATATATGGCTACCACATCTACAGAAGGCAAGAAAGAACGAGGAAAAATAGAATGAATTAACATTAGTGTCTACCTCCTTTGAATCGATAAGCCTCCAATGGCCATCAGGTGATTCAACAAAGATTCTGCCAGACCCAGGATCCTGGCTAGAAGCAGAAGCAACAAACTGCCAATATCGATTGCGCCTTCTATCTTGACCCAGAGGCAAGGAACGGTAGATATACATCTCCTCTGCCCTATGGCCAATATAAGATTTCAGCTGCAAACGTGACCTTTCTGTCGTATACCCATTCTGCTGAATTGGGAAACCAAACTGAACCATGGAAGTATCTTGTGCTGAATTATCAGTAGTTACTGATGGATCATGCATGTTATTTTGTGCAGTAACCAATGGACTTTGATCCCCATCCGCTGCAGGAGTAAAAGAAGAATCATAAAACTTACTTACAATCTCTTCTCTCATGCGCCTTTTATCTAGTTGTGCTTCTGCCAACATCTGCTTTTTAAGAGCATTTGCCACATCCAGCCGATCCTGCAACAATCTCATTTGTCAAAAAACACAAAAGACTAAAGTCTTTATTTCCTACTTTCAACTCTCAGAAATTGTCAGAAAATTAACCTCAAGAATTACACGGATAGAGTTCCCTTCATTCGCAATACAAATTAAGGAAACAAGGGTACTGAGACGCTCCTCAACAGAGAGATTAGAATATTCTCCTTCAGTCAATCCTGGAACCCAGAGCTGACCAGATCTGCTTTCATCGATCTCCATGCCTACTTGGTCAGGATCACCAGCTCCAATGCCTTCAATAGCATATCAACAGGTTGATCAGTAAGGTACATGGATTTTCATTATCAAATCTAAAATGAGAGCACGAAAAAGTCTTAGTGACAAGCAAGGAAACGTATGAAACTGCTTGTAAACACTACCAATTCCATTTTGCAGAGCAGCAGCATCTGGGTTATCGTCTTTTCCATTCCCTGACAAGGAGCCAACTTCATTGCATTCATTGATCTTGTTTGCGTCAAATGAAGTAGCTAAACCATCTCCTTCTGGACCCTCAGCAACATCACTCTCTGAATCATCATCTCTTTCTTCCTCATCAGCATTTTGACCAGCTAAAAAACCATTAGCATATCTTTGTATCTTCTCCCTGGCTGCAGCAAGTATTGATTCAGCATCTGCAGGATCCTTTCTAAAAGCCGGCCGTACACAATATGTTGAAGGAGCTATTCTTTCAAACAGTATTGGATCCCTTGACAATGCAACAGAAATAGAAGCCTCTGGAGTTTTGCTTGTTGAGAGGTCACGCAACCCAGATTTCTACACAAAAAGCAAAATTAAATTAGAAAAAAAAGAAGAAGCTAAAATTAATCCAATAGGTGCAGCAGTGACAAAAGATATCTATTAGTTACCTGAATCTTGTCTGCAAGCTCTATAACATTTAAGCCCTTGCTTCCTTCAAGAGCAAGAACGTGATAAGCAGCAAATTTCACAGTACCCGGTGTCAACCGGTGTCTTGATCTGCGCTGAAGGCCAATTCCTTTTTCTTGCATAATTGCAACTGCATTCTCAGCTGCAGAACCATTTCGCAGAGTGGACACTATGTCTACACAACCTTTAATCTGAGGAAAAATAAAGAATGTTTTATCATTGCATGCAGTTATATCATTATGGGCATGTTATTTTGATTGTGTTCTTGGTGCCATCTCGGGGATAAATATTTTATGAACTCGAAACAAAACTGCATGCCTTGTTTATAGGTCTATGGACTCGAGATCCAAACATAAAATAAAGCTCCTGATTATATAGAATTAGTATGTTAGGCCATTTTGGAATTATATTCCACCATATCCCATACTTAAATTGTCCTTTGTTGTAAAGCAATATTTTTCCTAGGATTTGGTCAGAACCGTTAGTTATCTCATCCTATACAAATCTCCTATACGTTTCCCTTTCTAGCCATTCTTTTCTGCCATAAAGTAACTAATTAGTTATGTTTTTTTTTTTTTTTTTTAAGTGGCATACATCTGGCAAGTCCAAGTTTTCTATTCATTTTCTTTTGCCGGATACACACCCTAAACAGTTTATGGTCATATAGGTCTGTTGTAACAAAAGAACATGGTGTGTTGATATAATGCATATGGGGGAGAAGAAACGAAAAACCTCATCATTATCATTCATGCAACGCCTTTCAAGACTCTTCTTTTTCAACCGAGGCCCAAATCCAGCAGAGAGTGCAAATTGCCGCAGGATTTCAGGCCATGTCAACGGATTTAAGTGCTTAAGCCAGTTGCGTATGTCGAAACCCCACAAATATGCCTGTCATAAAAGTTAAAAGTAAACATAAAATTAAAAAAAGGGGTTATTCATTCAACAAAAAGCCTGCATAAATAAATAATTACCCCTTCAACAATATGAGGATGTCCACCTTCTGGATTGACAGCACTATATTGATTTGTTCCAGGCCCACCTGACGGTGTTCTCACAACATCTTCAATATCTTTTATGATTAGTTTTAGAAGAGCAATGTGTATCTCACCAAGAAGCCTTGAATCCTGCAAGACAAAAAGGCTATATAAATTCTCATTAACTTATGCAAGGGGAATGGACACAATTACACAGAGAGAAAGATTGAAAGCCGGCCTATATATGATTCTGTACAAAGCAGAAAAGAAAAGCCAAAGGGCAATACACAGTTTTTAGATTGGAGAAAAAGTAAAACTGAATCGGTTCAAATGAACTTAAAGCAAGAAGCAGCCTGAAAACTCACGTAGTCATGGAAAGACTGGACAAACTCATCAAGGGTAAAAGGCCAAAGACCAAGAACATCAGAAAAAGTGATGCAGAATCTCCAAACCTGAAATAGCAATCATATGTCAAGTATTTACTGGAAAAAAGCATTGCAGGAAAACAACTCCGGACTCCAAATGAAAGAACGGAAAATTATTTCAGCTCAATTTATAAAATGGTGCAGGCCGCCAAAACGGCAGATATAATACACAAGTAAAAAAAATTATAAGCTGAATAAATTTTGTGCCCTGTGCTTCTGCAGTTAAAAAGATCGAGGAAAATCTAGTTTCCAATTTATGCCGACTTTCTAGCAAAGTTTTATTTTATTATTATTATTATTATTATTATTTTTTTTTTTTTTTTTTTTTTTTTTTTTTTTGTGGTGGCATGTAGGGGAAGCATGCAACAAGAAGAAAAAAATGACAGGTTGAAGCTCAACCAAACTAGACAATTTATTACAACATAAAATGTAGCCTCTAGCATCGGCGTCCCTACAGACAGTAAAGTTTTGTGAATGAATTATACCAATAGTGGTAGAAACAAGATTTTGAAGCTTAGCGATAAAAATATCATCATTGACGTACACCCACAAATAAATATATAGAAAATAGCTACATGCACAGAATTTCAGTTCTAATTTCTTCACGATAATTTAAAGCATAGGAAGAAGAAAGTCACAATAGATTACCATTAGGAGGTTCCCAACGTTCGCCTCTGAATCAATCCAGGGTTGAATAGCAAACGGCTTCTTTAATTTCACAGTCTTTGGAGGGAATTGGCACAAACCTTCTGTATCACAAAAGGTTTGGTTTGAGTGCACAACAACCTTTCAGAGCACTTAAAGCAGAACAAACTACCCTAAAGTTTCTACAAACAAATAGCAACTTCTACAGAATATGACATGCATCTAAATAATTGACCAAAAAAGTCAAGTTTGGAACCATTCTTTTTTGCTCTTGGGCAAGTTCTCTGAAAGAGTTGAAACTTTTGTATCAAGTTCTTCATCTAAAATGTAGCAGGATATCAGTGAAGCTGCCACAATGCCATGTCAATAAAATAAAGACACAAATGGATTAGGAGGAAAAATAAATATACCTGTGGAGTAATCCAAGGAAGAACAAATTGAAATTTCTATGTTATCAATTTTAACTTAATACCTCCACAGTAGATAACAATTTGTTACTGCTACAATGAAGACAAGGATAAAGAAACCGAGCAAGAAAATGTCTGATAATAAGCTCAACTCTTTACTATGTTGTGTTACTAACTTGATTTCCTAGTTTTTCAGAAAGGAATATAAACCTGGGACTAAATGGATTCGCAAATAAAATTATCAAGGGATTATTGTTTTAAATTTGCAATCAGTACACAGTTACAAACAAACACAAAATCTCATAGAAGTAACGGCAAGCAACACCAACCTCGGAAAGACTCAAGATTTTGCATGGTCTCATAATCAAGAGATATGATTGAAGGTAATCCTTTCATTGAAGCAGCCAATTCCATCAGTTCTAGACGCTCATCTTCTATTAGCTCCATGGACTCTTTAGCAATTTTCCGTGCTGTAGCTCTCTCCGCCGCAGCTTTCTGTCTTGCTGATTCCTTCTCTCGTCGACGCTCTTCTTTCTGTTTCTTCCTCTCTTCCTGGAGAGAGACATGCACAAAAAGAATAACTGTATCTGTTCTAACTTCTAACCAAATACAGAATTAACAAATGGTCAAATTGGAGTTAAAAAGAATACATAATACACTTTCAAAACCTACCCGCAAAAGCTCCTTTTGCATAAATTTCTCCCTCCGTTCCATTTCACGCCTTTCCTCACGCTGAAACTTCTCCTCCTGCCTCTGCTGTTCCCGCATCATCCTCTGCTCTTCCTTTCGTCTTTCACGATCTTGCCTCTCCATTTCCTTCCTTATTTGCTCTTCCCTCTTAAAAAAAAAAAAGGGCCAAATCAATGTCAGATTTCGGCAAAAACAGTATGTATCATAAATCTCCTGTAAAAAAATTCAAATAAAGTCAAGGCCCTCAAATTTAAAACTGGAAAGTCTAAACCTTTCGCCTTAGTGCATCATGTTTCTCAAGTTCTTTGCGTGTCTTCTTTTCATGAGCTTGAACATCCCTTCCACTTTTAGCTTCATCACTCTTCATAGAGTAATTAACAGTTCAGTAATCTCAAGAGGAATAAAATTGAAATTTTTGCTAACAAAAATGAAATTGTGGATAAAGTAAAAATACCTTGCGTTTCCTCTCGGTATGCAAATTATCGTCATTGTATGGGATGAAGTTATCAGGCTTCGGAGATGAGGAAAATTGCCCATGTCTATCGACACTTGATACCTGACCTTCCACACTATATTCCTCGGGAAGATACTTATTTCCATGTGTCAATGACAAACTTTTAGCAGTAGGACCATCAATAGGTGAATCATAGAGGTAAGACATGCCAACATGCCCATGCATGGCAGACCTAATCTTGGGCTCAGCAGTTTCAAGAAGCCCACTGGATGCAGCCTGAGAATTAAATAAATTGAAACTTCAGCTTGTTAGTGTGACTAGTGTCTGTCACTCACTGATTGACAACACACGTCGACATGGATAACATCTACTTAAGAGAGACTCTTTTCATTCTTTCCTCTTTTTTTGTCTTTCTTTTTCTGTTCTGAATGACGACACACGTCAACATAGATAAACCAACTAACCAAGCGAAAAGAGTCACATGCTAAAAATTTTAGGTGTTAAAGCATAAAAAAGCACAAATTTGTTAACGAAGAAGATAGAGAACTAACTTTGATTTGCTTGGTATCATATTGCCTGTAAGACTTGCTGGCACAAGATTGTATGTATCTGTCCCGCTGCTCTGCTGGCACTGCTTTTTATGCACAATATAAAAATGTTAGCAGTTTACATGACCGCATGAGAAGGTAAACTCATGAAGCATCATGTGAAAGAATACGAGAGATACAAAATCCTTCATAAAGTTGCAAATCAATTAATTAGGTGTAGCTGTTTGGCACTTCATTTTCCTTGACCCCAGTCAAATAGCGCAGAATTCAGGGTTTTTCTCGATATCTATAGTTAACTAAAAATGTTCCTTGACCCCAGTCAAATTGCGCAGAATTGAGGGTTTTTCTAGATATCTATAGTTAACTAAAAATTTCTCTGTTAGACCCCGATTATGTTCACCTACTCGAGAAGAAGAAAAGGGCAGGGCACAGCAACTAATTCAGTTCCAGTCAATTAGTGGTGTCAGGGACAATTTGGGAAAAGTCATGTAATGGGGGGGGGGGGGGGTGGGGGGGGGGGGG